TGGAGTAGGAATATATATGTAATCGCTTTCCTCACTGAGCTCAGGAGTTTCCTATACAGTGTTGGAGTAGGAATATATATGTAATCGCTTCCTCAGCTGAGCTCAGGAGTTTCCTCATTGATTACAAGAGTTTGCACATGAGTTATGGTACAAGTGTACAGAAATATCAAAAAATTTCCCCAAATTTCCTCCCAGAATTTTCATATTTTCACCAACATGAGTAGTTGACCATGTGAATATTTTACGGAAAAAATGCGCAATTTTTTTTATCATGTGGAAATTGATTCCAACACTATGATGAGAATTTTCAGCATTTTTCGGAATCTGGCCTTCGAGGAGTATCTGCAGAAGCACTGTTTGGACGGACCAACTCTGTAAGCTGCGGTGAATCGGAATAAATCACCCACCTTAAAACGGCGCAAGTTAAGGCGTTGTGTGTTTCACAAAATGGTTTTTCCTGAAAAATTCGTGAAATTTTCGGTGCATTTTCGTTTTTTTCGGAAAAAAATTTCCCTATTTAGATTTTTATGGCGAAATACACCAACAGTAACGATTGGTCGGCATCAGAACCCATGGGTGGAATGTCGCTTGAAAACGATGGAGGAGGAGAATGTGAATTTAGCTCGAAGGTGAATCAGCAGCGTCACCATTTTTTTCCATTGGAAAATCTTCGCTGTGCGTAAGATACTCGGGTGGTGGCGCAGTTTTCCAAGATATGGGCTGCACCACTTTCACATTGTTGCAGAAGGATCATGATGGGACGCAGAACAGTTCAGGAATCATTGATAGGAATTTCGATATTCTCACTAGAGCTCTCACAGAGGGCGTTAAGGTGAACTGTCAATGCAAAAAGCGCGCGCCCAGATGATCGATTTGTGTTTTCATCTGTTGTGTATGATCAGATTCCAGCAGTTCGAAAGGGCCGTAACGATATTGTGTTGTCCTCGGATGGACGTAAGATATCGGGCAATGCATTTAAGCAAGTACCGGGTAGCCATGTGCTCCACCATGGGACCATACTTGTGAACAGCGATATGTCAGCACTGGGCAGGTGAGATAAGAACAGAACAAGACACTGATGAACACATTGATGAACATATTGATGAACATATTGCAGAGCCTGATACGAGCAAGTTTGTAAGTTTGTGTTTTTTTGAAAGATTTTGCAGAATTTTTTGTTGGGAATTGTATTAATCGCGAACTTATATATATTCCTTTGAATATCGATTTTATTTTTGTTTGACACCCACGGCTTATGATTTCTCAGATACCTTTCTCCTTCTAAACTGAAACTAGAGTCTAAAGGAGTCGCCAGTGTTCATGCGAGAGTAGCTAATCTGACAGACATCAACTCAGATCTTTCCCATGGTCAGTGTTGGTCGCATATGTGATGAAGTTAATATTCCTTAAAAGTGTGAACAACAACGCTGATACGCATCGTATAACACTTGCTCGTTGCGGGGCGATTCCAACATGAAACCTTTGGATGGCTCTATCTCATCTGTTGACTCCGATGCCAATGAATACAACGCGAACAAAACAGGTTGTGGTTTCGAGGAACGCAATATCGCTGCCTTCTCCAGTGTGCCTTGTCACACGTTTTCCTCTACATGCTCTATACGTGTTGGTGACAATATGAAAATTGTGAAATTTCGGGAAGCTCTGTACACTTCTACTACACGAATTCGTAAGTAAACTCCTGAGCTCAGCTGAGGCAACCAAACATATATTTCAACAATGCCCTTCGAAGCTGATATGGTTTTTCCAATACTATGCACTTCTCAAAACTATAAGTCGTTTTATGGTTGAATTGAACTCATCTTCAGATGAGGTCTGCGGTGCTCTCGAAAAGGCTTTTCTCGAAACATATCCGCACTGTAAAGAGGTAACTCATGATGAACTAGATATGATGCCTTGAAACACAACAGGTCATCACTCGAACACTGACGGGGGACCCAGTGACCGAAAGCGACGTTGAAAATGATGAAGTCTTCAGAGAACACTACGAGAAACTAAATGTAAGATTAATGGAAATTCACGACCCGTCTAACTTCAGTTGGCGCAATACTTGATGTGGATTCGCGCCCGATAGTGCATTTTTTCTCGTTGTGAAATGTGTTTTTCACTAATTTTTTCATGTCACGGGTGAAACTAGAATGCTGATATTCCCCCCTCTGTAGAATTGGTCATGGCGTTATGGCTCGACCCCAGAGTTCTCCCACAATATGATAGGAAGAGTTGAAGGAGTTGCCAACTTTGATGTAAGTTCGTTACATCTACTATTTGTAGTCCTCACACGTTGCGCATACAACCCTCAAGTTTGCACTTTGTGAATTGCGATTCACAGAAAACTAAATTGTGATACAAATTATCCGAGTAGTGATTAATTTGTGAATCACAATTGAATCTTTACTGTCGTTTCTGCCGCCTCGCGAAGTCTTTGGTATACCAGCATGCCAGATGTTGAAATTTGATTTATATTTTTCCACATGATGCGGAGTTTCATCGGTGATCATTTTTAGGTGCATCTTGATGTAATCAAGGGGCGCATCGCTGAATGCCGTATTTTCACAGATGCCCTGTATCCTGACGTGATTGGAATATTGGAGGAAGCATTGCTAGGCACTCCGTAAGCACTCCGTCAAAGCTGAGATATGGTTGCAATCTCGTTGAGAGCTCAACATACAGTACGTGTCAATTTGATATGCAAATGTGTGTTATTTTGTAGGACAAATGATAGTGAACAAGTTGTCGCTATCATCACAGTCCCAAACGGGTACTCTCATCATCACAACACATGTTCATAGCCATCGTTACATTGCAAATCGATTCTCATTAATCTCGGAAAATAACACACATTTGCATATCAAATTGACACGCGCTGTATGTTGTCACCGAGTTACATGTATGAGTTTCTTGCTCACTTCAAGTCATCTTCTAGGTTTTTAGATATTCAAAGGAATCGATAGAAGAAGCTCTCACCTCGAGAATACCGAGGGGACGGGAAGTGGCTGGCGAAGGAGGCGAGATACTCGTCAAGTCGTTTTCACATTGGCTGGCCAATGAGATACCTGAACTGGCCTGATTCTCACGGTCACATATTAGATGAAAATATGTTTTCGATGTGTTTCAAAGTTACGGTTCTAGAGTTGTTGGGTTGTTCGTAGTGAGTCTATGACAGCTGCCAGCTGCTGTTCAGAAGGCTTTTGGCCACTCCCAAAAGGAGAACATGATATTGGCTCGGAAGAGGTCACTATACTATACCATTATAAGAGAATGATACTCCCATGAATCCTCGAGCAAGCATTCCCTAAGACATTAAGGCTTTTGATACCAAGCATCAAATTGGTACCCGCCACTGATGTATATTAGCCCTCAATCGTACGCAGCATAGTGCTTTGCCATGACTAGGTCAGAGAGGATTTTTACTCCTTTTGCACGGAAAATGAGCTCATTTCTCCACCTCTTAAACTCGAGCATCATCATGCATGAGAATCGAGATCAACAAATAGTCCAGGTCTCGTCAATGAAGACATCGTAATGTGTGTTCACGCTAGTTACATTCAAAAAGTAATCCTACTCAAGAAATTCCACTTCCATGTGAATCAATAATTCTCGGGAATACGAAGTGTTCATTGTAAGTCCTGTACCATTCTCAACACGACAGATATATAGAACGAGACCTCAGCATGATCACATTGATAATAACATGCAACAATCACTCTAGTCAGTGGAGCTACTGCTAAGCCAAGTTACTTGAATGTGAACCTGAGATGATAATAGTAGGCAACTGTGAGAATAGAAGGACCGCAAGGATGGACGACAGTTCCCTTTCTAGAGGGGAAACCCTTCCTCAAGTGTGTATACTCACTTCATCATCATCGTTTGGTTGTTCACTGATAAGACCAACAGGGACGATGTGGAACCTTAAGACCTCACAAAAGGATCTCTTGTGAACCTATATCTACCTAAGGCCAGCTACACTCTGAGCGGAGATCTCTGCAGTGTGTGTGGTGACAAGCGTGTTGTTGTGGAGTATGCTGAGGGAGCATTCAACAACACCATTGATGCGGGCTGCTTCAACATCAAGTAGAAGGTCAACCTCAATCTGAAGAGAAGTCAATATAAAGCCTAGGGAGAGGCGTGGGATTACTCTGGACGAGCTACCAGTGATTGGCAACGAATTGCTCCCTGTGGACTGTGCTGATGACACTTGAGATACTAGGAATATACCATCGTATTCTGAAGCCTCGCACAGATAACTAAAGCAACAACACAACATCGACTCGATCGCCAAATAGTGCGAGGGGGAATATATGCACATGATCAACCACATATGTTGGTGACAATTGTGAGAAAGTTTCGGAAAATTTTCTGTACGCCCTACCCGAATTTGTATGTAAACTCCTACAAGTGAAGAAACTCCTGGACTCAACTGAGGAGCGCGAACATATATTCCTCCAACACTGATTCGTGTTATTTCCATTAAGGAGAACTGAGTGCCGATCAGTATAGCGCTTCCTCTCAGCAGCTACTTACCCGAAATATTTCGTAGCGCCGTAGTTGATACCAAAGAACACACTGTGTCTCTTTAGCCAGCTCTTCCCACGAAGTTGACTTAACGTTAGGCGTATTTTGTAGCAGCCGGTTTTCTCGAAAGGGGCTTGCTGTAAGGCAGCCTAGGCATGATCATAGTTCAGTGATCAACTGTCCTTCATTTACACTGGCTCAGTGGTGTAGTACGCTTCACATAACCAGAGGGTTATGCTATTTAGGAAACGCTGAAATAGCGATTTGTTCAAAGATAGCAATTCGTGGACTGTCGAACATGTTGGATGTGAATGACATAGTCGTGAATCATATTATTAGTAGATGCAAGATTCCCCAGAAATTTTCAATGTGTGTATCTTTTTCATTTTACTAGAGTGCATCATGGTGAGTTGATACTCCTGTCAAAAATTGAAACAGAGTTACAATATTCATCTACCACCACGCGATATGCTAATACAACGATAATTTTCAAGAAAATAGAGCGAATTATGACAAGTCTATTCACAGTAAAATAACATATTTCTACCATAGATATACGTGATAGTATTTTCCCGGTAGTATAAAAATACAAACTCGCGCACGAGGACAATAACGATGCGAGTTCCACACGATGCTCACCTGCCCTCTCTTCAGCGTTAGCGAGTTTCCAGTCCCAATGGCTTTGTTTTTCTCCACCAAAACGAACCTATAATCATAGCCTGATGGTTGCGATTTCTTGGCTGTTGTTATTTGTAGATATGTCTTATGTCTTGTAGCAGTGTCTTTGGGCAATACTTACATCGCAATTCACAACAAAAAAAGTTGCAACTATCACGCATAGTTATCGTATCTTTCTATGAGTAATATTCACCCCGATCATTCGTTACGTGAAATGTCCTCGTTCCTCCTCTGTCGCCACCGAAGGCTTTTCTTTTTCAGATCTCATTAAAGAGTCTCCACTCAGTGAACTTACGTCCTGATGACCATGGGACACTCAAAAACTGTAATTTCAGGTCTAAACTCTGCATACGTCTTCCTTGAAGTGAGCGCCTCTCGGTAGTTTTCTGTTACCAAAGTCTTGGATATCTACGATAACTTCACTCAACTGTTTTCGATCAGCGGTTATCGTCCTCACTCGTAGCTTCCCTCAACAGCTTCCCGCGATGAGCATCCTTCGACGCTTCATTTTTCCTAACATCCTTCTATAGGGTGATGTAAAGAAGTGCATCACTTTTCGTAATTTTGTGGCGAGTGACAATTTCGAACCGTATGACGTACCATCGAACGCTGTCTCAGATGGTAGTTAAATCACTCGCATGCTCTTTTTACTCCAAGAGCTATGACAATATAGAAAATACCACATTTAGGAAGAAGTGCTAGCAAATTTCATTTGTGCAGTGAGTGCACATGCGCTGTGAAATCACGAGGAAGAAAGGGTCCACTCGACTCTTTCTCCTCCATCCCCTGTGTTTCAACACGAGAAAATCTTGTCCTCCGCGAGCCACCCTGCCAGGGGTCGGTTGACTACAAGTGGTCACCAATAACCTACTTGAAGTGTACTCTAAAGCCGTATTATTCGTGGATGTGAATAGAGGCTAAGGTGAGATTGAGATCATGCTCTTTGGTAACCCATGATCATTATCATAAGCGCGTTTCAAACGAATATTCTGGAATATCCAAAATTGGTGACAGAGATAATCAACATAGAACTCTACAATACTCGTTTTCCAACTTTTTTAATTCGGAAAATGAGTATTTTAGCATTCCACGGAAAGGCAATTCCAGGGGGGGACGGTCGGATTTACTAAGTGTGAGTCACTAGTTACCGGCAACAAGACATAAGCCTGTCCACTTCCTCGTTCGACTTGTCCTCTTGGGAATTCCATTTCTTGATGAGGAGGATCACTTCATTTTCGTTGGAAATCGCCAAGTCGTCCGAATTCAGAATGGCTTCTACCTTGTTGAAGGAAAAAACATCTCTCCAACAGAGTGAAAGTGTTTATGAAAACAATTTAATGAAACTGTTCATCTGATGTCCATCGTTTTTGTGGAATTCGTCAAGAACAATATCGTTAGATATATCGGGGTACTCTTCCACGCACCAAATCCACATCGAGAGTTGGCCATCTCGCATCGTTACAGACTGCCCGAAACTGCTTGCGATCAGATAGCATGTGGATGATAACGCGCCTGGTAGGAACTCGTCTTGAATCGGCCTTAGTGCTGCACTACTTGAGACTTTCTGCGAAGCATTTCTCTTCAAATTTCCCAATGTAGTGTTCTAGCTGGAAAAATATGTTGACGAAATGTCCGGGCCCACAGGTTTGTGAACAAGTCGAGTGAAACCATCGTAAACACTTCTCGAAAAGTGTATCGATTGAATACCTACGAATGAGCTCTCAATAATCATTCGCCGCGATGATTTGAACGAAAATGCTGTGGATGAATCTCCAACACTGCCCTGTGAATCAGTGTAGTTTTACCCATGAACAATCGATATTAGATATTTGGACATTGCGATATGAAGTGAGTTGAAGACGCTTCGCGAATTACACTGGACGAATCACCCTACAGCACGGGTTTAAGGCGCTATTCACCGCTCCCATGCGTTTCTGAAATTCGAAGTGAAATGTGAGAAATGTTGTTCACTAGTGCTTTCCTTATCACTGCTGAAACTCCAGTGAGACGAGAATGCATCAGTTTTTGCTGTGAGCATGTATCGCCATCAGTGTGGTTAGTTCGCAATGTGGGTCAATAAAGTAAAGACAGCTTGCTCCCATACCATGTATGGTCACCATG